GGGGGGCAAGTTCAGCGCACTTTAGTGTGAACCCAAATATGAGGTTGTGTAAACCCAGTCAGTGGTTTAGAGGGCGTTGGTTTCACACCAAATCGCGACATGATTGTTTCCCCGTGGGGTGACGACACTTGTAACTCGAATAAATGATTGAATAAAAAGCAGGCACTGGGCGCTAGATCTACTGCGCATCTATGTAGGCTATGTTCTTTTTCCTAACCGTGGTGGTAACTACTCCATTACGAAATGTTGTGAAGTGCACAGCGCATGGTTTAGACTCTGTGTAGAGCTTGGATTTACGCTACATTTAAGTGCAATTGTTATTGTTACCACTCATCTCTTGTTTTGTTTTAGTAAGGTTTTACGGCGCTCGCAACTGCATAAGGTCATATGAGCGCCACAATCCTTTTGACCCACATAGACTAACATCTCCTGTTTGACCTTCATAAACCACCCTCCCCTCAATTCTATTTTACTCACACAGACTGCCCCCCCCCTCCTATTTTACTCACACAGACTGCCCCCTCTCCTTTTTTACCCACACAGACCCCCACCCCAACTCCAGTTTGACCTATATAGACTCCTCTCCCATATGACCTACATACACCCCCCCCCCTTTTTTCCAATCCTGTTTCTCCTTCATAGATAAATGCCTCCCGTTTGACCCATATAGACAAACCCCGTGGGTGGCTGGTGGATGTTCTAGTTTGGCTTTCTCTTTCTTTCCCATCAAACATCTGTCTTCCTTATCTCTCCTCCTTCCTTTTTTTCTTTTTTTTTTTGGATGCAAATTGCTCTCTTGCAACACATTCGTCTAATCTTCTGCACTTACTTGACCTAATTGTATAACAAGTGTCGTAAAACTCTTACTCGTACTACTAGACTCTTTTAAAAAGCGTAATCCTCCTCTTCAGCTCCCAGGTAGCTGCCACGATGCCGGACAATGGTCAAGCTCCCGTGGACAAGAGTCCAGACGTCCGAGATTTCCGCTATGACCACGGCTGGGCCTGGATGGTAGCCCTAGGTCAGTAGAGTTAAGTAGAGGCAGAGTTCAGTGGGTCAGTCCAGTTCAGTAGGTCAGAGTTCACTGTGTCAGTACAGTTCAGTAGGTCAGAGTTCACTGTGTCAGTAGAGTTTAGTAGGTCAAAGTTCACTGTGTCAGTAGACTTCAGTAGGTCAGAGTTCACTGTTTTTGCTTTTGTATAGGAGAAGTTTGCCTTTCCTATTTGCACTCGTGTCTGGTTGTATTTAAGAGACTGGAGAGAGCTAGAGGGATAGTTAGCGAGAGAGAGAAAGAGGGGGGGAGGGGGGAGGGAGAGCGTTTCACAAAGAAGGATACAGAGAAAAAGAGAGACGCAACAGAGAGGTGGAGAGAGATATTGCAGACACACACACATACACACACACATACACAGAGAGAGAGAGAGAGAGACACACACACACACACACAAACACACCACCCAGAGATAACAGCCGAAGAGGGAGAGAGAGACAGTCGAAGAGGTGGAGAGAGAGAGAGAGAGAGAGAGAGAGGGAGAGGGGGG